TATTGTTGAATAACCATTCAATTCTGCGACTTAAGGCATATGTAAATAATTATTATAAATTTCACACTTGTATTTCCTTTTTCTACGTTTTAGTTTCTTACTTTTATTTTACTTAACTTAAATATAATTTTCTTTGTAATTTTCATACAAATAGCTTTTCCCCCACTTGTGACTAGAGAATCTTATTTCATTCTGTTCATTCGATTAAACTTACAATTTTAGTTTGAAATCTTGCCTAATTATTTGTATAGTCTATGCAATCATGCGATATCCTCAATAGTACGAGTATATATACTTGATTTATTATCTATTTATTATCACGAACTTTAGCAAAGTTGAGACTTATTTCCTTTTATACATTATTTTTTTACGCTAATTTAGTTGGTCAATTGAAACAGATCCAGTAACCAATAATTGTAATTGAGTCTATATAATCACGAGTAATAATTAACAAAATATATAATTTGTTATATTAATGTAAAGTCTGCTTTCATTTTCCACATTTTTTTTCAATTAGTTAATAACTAGAACTACTAATAATAATTATTCAAAAAATTATTTTTAAAACTCTATTACGAGTACTTACTGTACTTCATCACTCTTCGCTCATCCTCTTTAACGGTTTGTTGCGCTATAATGATCGATGGATCATTCACTTCACCTGCCTTTACCTGAGTACGTGTTTTTCGTTCCTCAGCAAAATATGGATAAAGATGATTAGAATTAGCATATAAAGAACTAGAGGCGACAAACGGTGATTTTTAGTAGTTTTTATTTTTTTTTTCAAGATCATTCCACCACTTTTAAAAATATGAAAAAATATCCCAAGTAGTTCAAAGCCAAAAATATGTAATATATTTTTTTAAGAGATGAGTCGGTCTTTGTTTTTGGAATAAACATTTTTTAACTTTTCAAACGGCTGTACAAACTAAAATTTTACGTCAAACATTTTTTTAGTCAGATAGATTTGTGGGGCTTGAAAAACCCTACACTTAGGTTTTCTTTATTTTGCTAACTTTAAAATTGACTGAGCTATGATAAAAAAAAACTGAAAAACCTATCGTGACGTCTCATCTTGTCCTATGGAGGTTTAAAGCTTTGAAAATCTAGGAAAAAGGGTTGCTTTACAGACGAAATAAGAGGTTATATTCAATTTTACGGATAACTTAAAGGCAGATTTTACTATCTTACCCGGCTAGACCCTTTCACATTTTTTTTTTTTAATAATTACAATTCTTATAAATAGCTTATTTTCGGTGATTTTAAAATCATTCAAATTATGCTGCGTTTACAACAAGGATTTATATAATATCCTTTCTTTATTCATTTATCGGATAGTCAAGCGCAAAGCCAACATTATACTAAAAAGAGAAAAATGGTTTATTGGCTCTAATAATGTCGTTCATGAAAATCTTGTAGATTATAACAATATTTTGTTACCTTCCCTTCTTATTAAATTTGGATTAATGAACCAATTCGTTAAATCATTAGATAAAAATGGTAAATGTTTTGAATATTATAAATCAAGATTTCCAAATTTAAGCGATGCAAAAGTTAAAGAAGGTATTTTTACAGAGCCCGGTATAAGATCTGTCATAATTGATGATAAATTCATTGAGACAATGAATACTTTAAAGAAAAATACTTGGATTAGTTTTAATTGAGTTATTTAAAACTTTTTAGGAAACAATCGCGATTCAAATTATAACAATATTGTATCAAATATACTAGGTAGTTTTCAGAAGCTAGGTCAAGTTCGTTAATGAGTAGTAAACTACATTATCTTTTTTCCAAATAATAGAGTATCAAATAAAAAAAATAGGTGAAAAGTTCCGTCAGGATATCAAACCAAAAGAGCATCATTATCATGGTAAGTGGAATGATAGGATGATGGCAGAATATTGCTAGTCTTTGAAAGCACACGATACATTTTCCGTAATCGCTGACAATTTCACAATCGATCTTGTGAAATGAAGCATACTACTGTGGGCAAAAAGTAAGGTGAATTTTCAATTTAAACTTCGCGGGCTTAACATTTCGGGCTAGTTCTTTTTTTCTTGAGTTGGTAGGACTGTGAATGACATCTGGGACAAATTTCATGTCAATGTCATCATCAGTAATATATTTACGCTTGTGTTTACCAAACGACCAAGAGTGCATGTTTCGATTTTTACAATGTCTGATTTAATTGAGCAAAGAAGTGCCATCAAATTTTGTTTGCGGAATGAAATTTCGGCTGCGGAAACGTTGAGGATGTTGCGGAAGGCCTTTGGTGATTCTACCATGTCGCAGAAAAATGTTTATAAGTGGTACAAAGACTTCAAAGAGGGTCGAGAACGTGTTGATGACTTGGAGCGCTCCGGACGACCATCGACGTCAACAGATGACCAACACGTCAATAAAGTGAAGGAATTAGTGCTCGAAAATCGTCGGTTGACTGTTAGAGACCTTACTGATATGATCGGAATATCAGAAGGATCTGTGAAAACAATTTTGAAAGACCATTTGGGCCTACGAAAAGTCAAATCTCGTTTGGTACCGAAAACGCTCAATTTCTTGCAAAAAAGTCGCCGCGTTGATGTGTGTGAAACAATGCTTTCTGACTATCAGGACAAGCTCAAATGCATGATTACGGGAGATGAGACTTGGATTTATGCTTACGACCCTGAAACAACCGACCAATCAAGCGAATATCGTGCTAAAGGCGAGGCCAGACCGAAAAGAGCACGTCAAAGTCGTTCAAAAATCAAGGTCATGATGACAGTTTTCTTCGATTTTCGTGGTGTGGTGCATTATGAAATCCTTCCACCCGGCCAAACTGTTAATAAGGAATATTATTTGAGCGTTATGCGTCGTTTGCGTGAAGCAATTCGTCTAAAAAGACCAGAATTATGGGCCAACAACTCTTGGTTTTTGCATCACGATAATGCACCATCTCACATGCACTCGTTCTTCGTGACCATTTCGCCAAAAATTCGACGCATATCGTTCCGCAACCACCGTATTCGCCTGATTTGGCTCCGTGTGACTTCTGGCTATTCCCAAAACTCAAGAGACCACTCCGGGGAACGCGTTTCGAGTCGATTGAGGAGATAAGAGCTGAATCGAAGAAGGCGCTGATGGCTATACCGGAAAGGGACTATTTGGCATGTTTCGAGGATTGGAAAAAACGTTGGCATAAGTGTATTTTATCGGGAGGGGATTACTTCGAAGGGGATGACATCGATGTAGAAGAATAAATAAAGATTTTTCATTTTACAAACAAATTCACCTTACTTTTTGCCCACAGTAGTAAGTACTTCCATAAAAAAATTAATTGACTTTTTATAGAAATACAAAAAATTTATAATTAATCGGTATAAAAATATTGAGACTAAAAATTAAAAAACTATGTAAAAAATTATTAAAAATAAAGAAAATGATGTCTTTACCGTCACGTCCATACTTGGTTCGGCTGAAAGAGATTTCAGATTCGAACTTGAGAAAAAAACAATAAATAAAAATCATACTCAGAAGTACTCATAATATTTATAAATGGAAACACGATTTGGTTACTCAGAGTCTTGCGGTTTAGTGAAAGGTTTACTTGAATAAACATAGAATAGGCAGAATGAGATAAATTTCAAAATATACGATATAATGACGAATTGCATCATCCTGTTCACTACAAGTGGACAGAATTGATTTCGCTTGAAGACTTGTAATTTGATCAAAGGTTTGATTCGCTGACCACGGGGTGGGTAGGGTACGATTGATTTGGAGACTTGTGTTTTGATTAAATGTGTAGACAATTGTTTACGTGGTTATGAGGAAGTAAACAGAATGTGTTGGATTCGACAATTGGCGATATCAGAACGATTAGTTTGATTAAGTTAAGCAAGCAAGGTTTGTTTGATTTAAAGATCTGGAGTTCGATTATAGATTTGCTTTGTTGAACTTTGGTAGGTAGGGTTTGATTGATTTGGAAACTTGTGATTTATTTAAGGGTTTACTCGATCGAATATAAAGTGAATAAGGTTATTAAATGATAAATTTGGTAATAATGGAAAGAAGGGAAATAATGAGAGATGGAAATTCACTTAATTTTAATTATATTCAGCAACGTTTCGTCAGCACATTTGCTGACCTCTTCAGGCTTTATCAATAGAAAAACAACAAATTATTAACAATAAAGTTGCAAATGTAATTTTAATAGCATATAATTATGTACACACCTGATTTCTTTCGTAGTCAAATTATTATAGGCTAAAACGAATAGTTCGTAGCCAGTCACATTACAATACAGTAAGAAATGAAGTATTTCAACACATACGAGATCTGTTCAAAAAGTATCGCGAATTTTGAATTTTCGCGGGTTACGTAAATTTTGTAGCATGATGTTGTGGGGACAGAACCGACTCGCTCTGGCTCCGCTCCGCGGCAGCACCGTCGGAAGCAAGCACTGACGCCGCGGAGTTGCCTCTCTACTGTATCGACGCCAAGTCTGAGCAAGATGTTCGACACGCTCGCACGCATCGAGTCTTGCTCACGTGTCATTCAAGCAAATCTCACCTTATTTTAGTGTATAGTCAATAAATATTTTATTCTCTCTATTCGCTCGCATTCTCACAATCAATTCTCCCTCGAACACGTCTCCAAAGTGGTGACCCCGACGTGATTCGAGCGGATTCTTTTTCGGCAAAGTGATCGCGCGGAAAACCGGCTCTCAGACCACGCCGCCGCCATCTTCAAACATTTCGCGCTCGCGCCTGCCCCTACCTGTCGTGGCGACCGAGACAACAGGTACGTGCGTGCAACCGAGGCCGATCACGCGAGCCTACGCAAAATCCCTCGATTCAACAAAAAGGCCAGCGACTGAGAGTGCGGGAGTTAACCTCAGAAAACAAAAAACCGAACGAAACGTTGAAAAAGTGCTCGCGGGTGCCGAATCAAGCGTGCTCTCGACACAAGGAAGGGACGTGCAAGAAAAAAAAGTACCAGTAAGCACTCCGATTGGCAACATGGCCAGCGCACCTACGCCAGCCGAGGTCAACGACACTTCCAATCCGGCGGCCCTCGCGTTGCAGCTGCAACAAGTGCAGCAAATCCAGCAGCAGTTGCTCAACGCCAACGCGTCGAGATGCAAACTCCCGCAGTTCTGGAAAGCAGCGCCGGAAGCGTGGTTCGGTCAAGTATAATCCAACCTGCAAGCCCATGGCGTGGACGATGACCTCAAGCGCTACAACCTGGTCATCGCAGCACTCGGCGAAGACACTGTCAACGAGCTCTTGGACGTGGTGCAGAATCCGCCGGCCACTGACATGTACGCTACGTTGAAGAGACGCATGCTCGAGCGTTTCGCCCAAACGAATGAGCAATGTCTACGCAAACTGCTCAACGACATCAAGCCAGAAGGCAAGAAGCCCTCAGAGCTTCTACGCGAAATGCGCATACTCGCAGGCAAGAGCGTCACTGACGAGGCTCTCAAGGTCAAGTGGCTTGCCCTCCTGCCAGCGTCCTCGCAGGGCGTGTTAACCGTGCTCGACGGAGCACTTGACAAATTGGCGGAAGCAGCCGACAAGTTGGCCGACATTGCGCCAACACCCGCCGTTGCTGCTGTCAAGGCCTACTCTCGCAGCAGCTCTCCTCATCGCCAAGACCATGCAATGGCTAAGGAGATGGCCAACATGACCGCCCTCATGTCACGCCTTTTGGCAACAGCCGAACAAACCAACGAGGCCATCAGAGTGCTGAGTCAGCAGAGGTCCCAGGGCAGAGGACGCAGCCGCAGCCGCGGGCGCGCTGGCACTCCAGCCACCCAAGCGCAACAGGGCCACTGCTACTACCATCAGCGCTTCGGAGATGGAGCACTCAAATGCGAGAAGCCATGCGACCACCCCAAGGCCTTAAAAAACTAGGACCGCTGCCCACAGTTCAGGAGGCTCACGGCAGCGGACTGCCAAAAGAAAACCGCCTTCACGTTTTCGACAGGAACTCTCGCCTCTCGTTCCTGGTCGACTCGGGATCCGTCGTATCCCTACTGCCCCGTTCGGCAGTCAAAGAGGCCACACAACTAGTGCAGCAGCTGCTGACACTCACCGCGGCCAACATGTCGCCCATTGCGACGTTTAGTCGCACTCTCCTCACACTCAACATCGGCTTATGCAGAGACTTCGAGTGGCCGTTCATCATCGCTGACATCCCAGGAGCCATCATCGGAGCTGATTTCCTGGCGCACGCAGGCATCATGGTGGACCTCCAGAGTCAGCGTCTCATCGACGCCATCACGGCGCTGGCCACACGAGGTCAGTTGTCAGCCGTCTCGCACCACACCGTTGCCATCCTGCACGATCCTGCCGAGGACCTGACAACTAGGAGCCTCTTCGACGCGCTACTCGTCGAGTACGCGGACCTCACCAAGCCCAGCAGCCGGAAGGCAACCCTCAACGGAGCGCCCGTCACCCACTTCATCCGCACCACGGAGCCACCGGTGTTCGAGCGCCCACGACCACTATTCGGTGACAGGCTCAAAGGCACCAAAGCGGCCGTCAAAGAGCTCATGGACGCGGGTCTCGTCCGCCCCTCCTCTAGTCAATGGGCCAGTCCTCTGCACTTAGTGGAGAAGAACGACGGCAGCGGCACCTTCCGCATCACGGGCGACTACCGCCGCCTCAACGCTATCACCGAGCCAGACCGCTACCCTCTTCCAGTCATCGAGCACCTTCTTCATGGCTGTCACGGCGGTAAGGTCTTCACGGTAGTCGATCTCAAAAGAGCTTTTTACCAGGTGCCAATGGCCGAGGAGGACATCTGCAAGACAGCCGTCATAACTCCGTTTGGCCTCATTGATTTCCTCGTCCTGCCCCTTGGCCTACGCAACGCCACGCAGACGTTTCAGCGTTTCCTGGACGGTCTGCTCAAGGACCTCTGGTTTTGCCGCTGGTACATAGACGACATCATCGTCTTCTCCAGGAACTACGAGGAGCACCTGAGCCACGTGCGACAGCTTTTCGACAAGCTTCGTTCAGCTGGTCTCTGCATCAACCTCGACAAGTGCCAGATCGCTCTGCCCGAGGTCATCTTCTTGGGTTTCACAGTGAGCCAGCAAGGGTTCAAGCCGCCACCGCCCAAGGTCGACGCAGTTGACCGCATCCCGACGCCGACGACATACCAGGAGCTTCGCAGCTTTCTCGGCGCTCTCAATTACTACAGGCACTGCATCCGAGGAGCGGCTCAACTGGAAGTTCCTCTTGACAATCTCCTACGGGGCGCACCCAAGAAGAAGAAGGCCAAGCTGAAGGGCTGGACCACAGCTCAGGACAAAGCTCTCTCAGCTTGCAAGCAGGCGCTCAAACAAGCCACGTTCAGCGCTTTCCTCGCTCCAGATGCCGAGCTCGTTGTCTCCTCCGACGCTTCAGACGAGGCGATTGCCGGCTCCGTGGAACAACTCATCAACGGCAAGTACTACCCAGCTGGTTTCTTCTCCAAGAAACTCACGTCGGCGCAGAGAAACTACAGCACCTTCGACAGAGAGCTGCTCGGGGCCTACGAGACCGTGAGGCACTTTGAGCACTACTTAGAGGGTCGCGAGTTTGTGCTCAGGACTGACCACAAGCCGCTAGTCCACGCATGTCGCAGGCCATCCAGCAGAAGCTCACCGAGGCAGAAGCGACACATGGACTACATTCTCCAATTCAACGTCAACGTCCAGCACATCAGCGGGGTGGACAACGTCGTGGCTGACACGCTCTCCCGCGCGTGTACCATTGGCATGCCATCGGGCCTCCTCGCCAAGGACATCGAAGCTGCACAGTTGCACGACAAGGAGCTCATTCACCTGCTCGAAAGCGGCGCGCTGGATCTACAGGTCTTGGAGATTGACGGCGCCAAGGTGGCCTGCAGCATCAAGGACAACCTGGTAAAGCCATACTTGCCGGAGCCGCTGCGCCGCCTGGCTTTTGATGTGCTCCACGGGCCAGCACACCCCAGCCCACGCACAACGGCACGTGCTCTCTCAGCCAAATTCATCTGGCCCCACGTCAGGAATGACGGCTACGCCTGGGCTCGCGCTTGCGATCCCTGCCAGAGAGCCAAAGTCAGCAGACACAACCGCGCAGCACTGCAGTCGTTCAACGTGCCAGAGAACAGGTTCGAGCACATCAACATCGACCTCATCACGCTGCCGCAGGTCCAGAGCTGGCGGTACTGCTTCACCATCATAGACAGGTTCACCAGGTGGCCTGTCGCCGTGCCGCTAGCGGACATCACAGCGGACACGGTAGCAAACGCCCTGGTTCAACACTGGATTGCGCATTACGGCTGCCCTATCACCATCACCTCGGACCAAGGCACGCAGTTCGAGTCGGCGCTCTTCGACGCCCTGGCTCGCCTCACCGGAGCACACCACATCCACACGACGCCCTACCACCCGCAGTCCAACGGAATGATTGAGCGCCTGCATCGCACCATCAAAGCAGCGCTCATGTGCGCTGGTGAGACGCCGTGGCCGCAGCGCTTGCCCATCGTGCTTCTTGGTCTGCGTGCTTGCTACAAACAGGACCTCGAGGCATCGCCAGCCGAAATGCTCTATGGCACCACTCTCCGCCTGCCCGGGGAGTTTTTCGTCACACACAGCGCGCCAGCAGAGCAGCCAACTTTCGCCAAGCAGCTGTCCAGCCTCATGCGGAGCATCCGCCCAGTGCCAGCATCGTCACACTCGAAGCCCAGCATCTTCGAGTTCGCAGACCTCAAGACGTGCACACACGTGTACATGCGCATCGACGCAGTGCGCAAGCCCCTGCAGCCGCCTTACACCGGGCCGCACGTAGTCCGCCGTCGAGTCAACGGCAAGGTCTACGTCATCGTGGTCAACGGAAAGGAAAAGACCGTTTCCACGGACGCACTCAAGCCAGCGTACCGAGACGAGGAGGACCGTCTTCTCTCACCGGCGGCTGACGCATCGCCCACTCCAGCGCCCGAGCCTCAGGTCAACACCAGCCCGCCCATGCAGTCGGCCCCAGCAACTCCATCGCACGCCACTGCCAAGCCGCCAATAACACCAGCACCAGTAGCAGCCGCTCCTGAAGCTCGGCCGCTTATCGAGATGGACTCGCAGCAGCTTGGCTCGCAAGCTCTTTACTCGCAGCAGCAGCAGCAGCAGCTGCACGCCAACGTCGAACCGCAGGATCTCTCTTCACAGCAGCAGCAGTACTCGCAGGCCGACGTCGAGCTCCAAGCTCGCCCATCTCACTCATCGTTCCAACAGCAGCTCGAGCCGAAAGCTCTCTCATCGCAGCAGCAGCAGCTTGTGCCTCGAGCTCTTTCATCGCAGCAGAGCCAGAGCCCACTTCTTCCAGCCTCGCCCAAGCCACAGACTCCTCTCCCGTCCAAGGCTGTGCCAACGATACTCCGTAAAAAAGTGTCGTTCCCTTCGTTCGACACGAAGCTCTCTAAGGGGGGAGTACCTGTGGGGACAGAACCGACTCGCTCTGGCTCCGCTCCGCGGTAGCACCGTCGGAAGCAAGCACTGACGCCGCGGAGTTGCCTCTCTACTGTATCGACGCCAAGTCTGAGCAAGATGTTCGACACGCTCGCACGCATCGAGTCTTGCTCACGTGTCATTCAAGCAAATCTCACCTTATTTTAGTGTATAGTCAATAAATATTTTATTCTCTCTATTCGCTCGCATTCTCACAATCAATTCTCCCTCGAACACGTCTCCAAAATGTTAATACTCATGTCTCTTACTTATGCTGATAAGGTCGGCTATTTTGAATGTTTAGTTAATTTTTGACAGCTGTTTTGCTTGGATGTGTTGTAGCTCGTATTCGATTTTTGCCTATTAAAAAAAAATGGATAAAAGAATCTGTATCAAATTTTGTGTGAAAAATAAAATGAAGTGTGCCGACGCATTGCAAATGTCGACTGTGGTATACGATGAAGCTACCTTGGACCAAACCATCGGTGATACAAAATGTTCTTAGAGGGCCGAGAAGATGTGAACGACGAACAACGTACCGGACGCCCGAGCACGTCAACAACAGACGAAAACATTGATAAAGTGAAGAAAATGGTATTGGCCAATCGTCGAATCAGCGTTAGAGAAGTTTCTGAGGATCTAAATATATCGATTGGCTCATGCGGTTTGATTTTAACCAATGATTTGGGCATGAGTTAGGTCGCCGCGAAATTCGTGCCAAAACTGCTCAATTTCGACCAAAAACAACATCTCGTTAACATTGCTCAGGAGAGTACAGGGCAGTACGGCAAATAAGGAATATTACCTGCAAGTTACGCGCAATTTTCGCCAAGTAATCCGCCAGAAAAGTCCAGATTTGTTGAAGAACAAAAACTGGCTTTTGCACCATGATAATACCCCTGCTCACATATCGTTGCTTGTACGCGAATATTTGGCCAAAAACAACACAATAATGGTGCCGCAGCCACCGTATTCCCCAGATCTGGCCTCCTGTGACTTTTTCCTGTTCCCAAAACTGAATAGGCCCATGAAAGGACGACGCTACGCCACGATTGAGGAGATAAAGATGGCATCAAAGGAGGAGCTGAACAAGATCACAAAAAATGATTTTTTTAAGTGATTCGAGGATTGGGAAAAACGTCGGTACAAGTGCATTATATCCGGGGGGAATTACTTTGAAGGAGATAAAATAAATATTTATGAATAAATAAATAATTATTGAAAACATACAAAATTCGCGATACTTTTTGAACAGACCTCGTATATATATATATATATATATATATATATATATATATATATATATATATATATATATATATATATATATATATATATATATATTCTTCATCTATCATCCCTTCCTCATCGATCTTAATAAAGGCTTATAAATATGACTAAGATATTGTATATCCTCTTTTCTATTTAAAGTGTTTTTATGTAAGCCGATTTGCAACATTTCGGATATTCTGCGTTTCTTGTAATTCTTTTCATAATCCAATATCTTAGCTTTGTCCCAGTCAAGTTCGTGTGAGAGAGTTCTTCTATGTGTAGCTACTACTGTATCTGAGTCAATGTTTTTTTTGTGTTCATTTAATCTAATTTTTAAGGATCGCTTACTTTCACCTATGTTAACCGCTGAACATTGTTTTCAGTTAAAACTGTAGACCACACCAGTATTGTCTGATAAATCAGATTTATCTTTTCCTAAACGAATGAATACTTGTAATTGTTTTTGTAATAAAGGAATTGGAGTAATGTCATATTTTTTTAACACGGAAGAACATTTTTGAAAGATGTTGCAATTATTTGGAATAGCGACTGAAAGCATTTTTTGATTTACTAATTTTTTAGAATTATTCTTCCCTTTTTTATATTTGTTAATCCGTTTGTGTATGTGTTTTTTGATAAATTCAGATGGATAATTATTCTTTTTGAATATATTAGTAACTATTTTTAAATTACGCTAACAAAATTTTTTGTCAGCAAGTAAAAACACCCGGTCAACTAAATTTGAAACTATCTTAACTTTTTGATGAATTGTATGTTCTGAGTTAAAATTCAAAATTCTATCAGTTTGTGTTGTTTTTTTAAACCAGTAAAATTCTAATTTATTATTATTTCTGATCAATTTTAAATCGAGAAATGGAATAAAATTATTCATTTCAATTTCAAACGTAAATTTTAGTATATTATGATAAAAATTGAACGTCTCGACAACTAAATTAATTTTATCTTTCGGAACGCACATCAAAGTATCATCAACATATCTATAGTAGAAAACCGGATTAATTTGATATTTATTTCACAACACGTTCAGGCAATGTTTCTCCTAATCTTCCATTACAATATCAGGCAATAAAGGAGAGATGGGGGAGCCCATTGGTCTTCCAAATATTTGTTTATAATAAATTTTGTTGAACACAAAATACACTAGTGGAAAAAATTAAAGGATCCAAAAAAAATTCCAAATTTTTTGACGCTTATTAACTGGCTGTATTTCCCTTGAAAATGGTCATTCTGGAATTTAGAAAAAAGCGTTTTCAAATTTGCAGTTTCTAGTTTTGAGATCTCATAATCAAAAAATTTTTCAAGCAACATGTTCTGCTCAATCCTCATGAATACCAAAAAAAATTTTTTTATTAAATTTTTTCAGTATTTTTTTTAGTCTACGAACTTGGAAAAAATTTTTCTAACTCAGTCACTCTATAGATCGGATAACTTGTTTATTCAGCTTTAATTTGCATTTTTGAAAAGTTCAATACCATCATCTCTTGCTGAGATATCAAACTTTGAATGGAAAAGGATCTTTTTGTCTTTAACCATCAATATCTCAGCAACAGCTGATTGCACAAAAAAATGAAGGTAGGTTTTGAAATCTTTAATAAATTTCCCAAAAAACTGAACTACTGTGTTTGAAAAAAAAAAATTTTCTTTTTATTCTTTACATTAATATGAAAAATAAAAAAAAGAGTATTTGGTGGCTTTTGGGATAATCAAGCGCTAAGTTGAAACTATCGAGAAAACCAGAAATGTTAAGCGCGTCATTTACAGTTCAATATGCCCACAAAAACCCAACAAAGTTTCAATTCAATCAGTTAAGCTGTTTTTTTGTTTTATTCAATCGAATTTTTGAAAAAAATTAAAGGATTACAATTTTGAATTTAAATTATCTTAATCTTGAAAAAAAGGCAAAAAAATTTTTTTTTTAATTTTCAAACATTTTTTTTTAATGATTCCAAAAAATTTTGAACAAAAACTACCGCCGGCATCAGCATTACTCGAAGCGTACCACATGGAGGTTGCCCGGTCGGATTTACGCTACATGTATGTGTTTTTTTTTAGGAGAAATGGGACCCGGAGGATTGTCAGTTCCTCCGTAGTTAATGACTCCAAACTCATTCTCCTAAGAATATGTGTGATGAGGAAAAAAAATTTTTCAAAAAAAGCATTTCAATTCTCTTAATAACGGGTATTGCCACACCTGTTCTCAATAACGGCTGCCAAGCGTTCAGTCATATTAATGCAGCGGGCAATCTGGGGTTGCGGAATGGTGTTCCAAATTTGCAGAAGTGCACGCTCTAATGCGGCCAAGTTGTACAAATTTGGATACTCTCTGCGCAAACGACGACCCATTATGTCCCAAACATGTTCGATGGGGTTAAGGTCTGGACTCATTGGTGGGTACCGCAGCAATGTGATGTCATGTTGTTCTAAAAAGCGTCTGGTGATGTTGGCTATGTGTGGACGTGCGTTATCTTGCATTAGAATAAACGCCCTCTGATGTTGTCATCTGCGCAGTACAATCGGTCTTAAAATTTGGTCAATGTATCGCTGAGCTGTTAAGTTTTCGCGTACAATCAGCAGAGGTATTCTCCAATTTCGTGAAACGCTACCCCAGACCATGACTGATCCACCGCTGTAGGCAACAATCGGACGAACAAAATTCTGGCGAAAATGTTCTCCACGACGACGCCAAACAAGGGGACGTCGGTCGCTCCCATGAAGGATGAACCGGGATTGTCAGTGAATAAAACATTTCCCCATTGTCTTAATGTCCAAGCCCGATGTACATTAGCATATGCTAAGAGTGCTCGGCGATGTTTCGCTATCAAAAGGGGTACACGATTAGGATGTCGTGCATTTAACCCAATTTCGCGAAGACAGTTGATTACTGTTCGGGAAGAAATTGTGACGAGAGCAAGCAGTACGCTTGCTCCTCGTCTGCCCTCCTTCCCTCTCTCCCTCTTATCGCTCGGCATGGCGACGTGGTCAGCGTTCGGCGCATATATTTATTGCGCCTAACCACTGGCCTTTATGTTTTTCCAGCCGCCGAAGATTGCCGAGCAAGATTGAGAGCGCCCGAAGAAGCAAGAGCGCAGCGACTATGAGGTAGAGAGAGAGAGAGAGAGAGAGAGAGAAAGAGAGAGAGAGAGAGAGAAAGAGAGAGAGAGAGAGAGAAAGTTAGCGAGCATGCTAGAGTGCGCGTCTATGCACGCACTATGCAGGTTTAGACCGGCGTGTGACGCGCGACCAATTAGCGCTTTTGTCGCACGCCGCCTAATGAGTGGGCTTGGTGGGAGAGCCCGGCGAGAGCGCGAATGCTGACCATGCGTCAAGTCGCGTGAGGCAGTTCCCGGAAGAAAGTTAAGGAGAGAAGTTGGAAGTAGCAGCGCGATGAGAGAAGAAGAAACACACGTGCAGCAGTGACCAGACCAGGGCGAGCCGAGGCAACGTGTGGCGGCAACACTTGCAGCAGGGCATTCAGTGTCGCCCTCGCCGCCATGCACGGCATGACTTCCAGTGGGTTCACCACGGGGTATGCCGAGGAAGACGTCCAGCCAGCGGCCAGGTCAACTCCCCGTTGCCGGCTCATCGCCAAGGACAAAGGTCAGGTTATCTCTCTCTCCCGGTATTTCTCTCTCTCATGGTGATGCGCGGCCGCGTAGGAACGATAGGTAGCCAGGCGATCACTTGCCGGCTACGCTCATCGTAATGCGGTAGAGAGGTTTCAACGTATTCTTTCCTTTGTAAGGAGGTAAATGGCCAAGGCGATTTAGTCGCCGGGCCATTCGTCCTCTCGCGTTAGTTTAAGTTGTTCTGTATATGTGCGCGTGATGTAAACGTTATTGTAACTGATTTTGTATTTGTTTGTCTGAATAGATTTAAGTTGTATGTTCCAAGTAAAGAAAATTATTTATTCGTTCGACCTATCCTCTCGTTCCCCGATTGTTAAAGAGCGAAAGTGCCTCTCTTACTCTCCCCTTAATAAAGTAGTGACGTCAGTGCCGAATAAGGCGCTGCCCCCGTTACATGGCATCCCTTGTGGGGAGATTAACAATCGGGTAATAATAGAGAGAAATGGTCAAGCGGTAATGGTTTTTTTTTAAGAAGCGAAAAATAATTTTTTAGCTAAGGGCAAAACGCGCGTGCTATGAACTTTTTTTTTGTAGAAGGAATTTCGTCGTTGTTCTCTCGGATTGTTTTGTTTTGGGCCTACCGGCGACCTTTTCTTATCGGGGAGTCGGGTAGCCGCGCGTGCGTCATTGAGCCGTTCGAGCGCTAGAGTTCGACACATTTTAAGTTTCCTATTTCTTAGAAAGTAAAACTTTGCCTTGCTGTTTTGTTTTGTTTTGTGATATTTTCTAGTAAGTGGACACATGTGTATATTTACGGTTTCTTTCTTTGGCTTATGCAAGGCGATTCCTCGCCGGCTCAGAACCCAGAAAGAATCGGTCTTATTATTTGGCAGTAGTGTCGAATTACATGGATCGTGGTTGAGACACGTTCGTTCTTGTAGCTCGCATTGCAGTCTCTTAAAAATTTTTTTTAGACGCAAAATGTCATTAGCGTGTAGAGACAGAATCGTCTTACGCAGAATATTACGCGATGCTCACGCGAAAAGGTAAAAAGGTAAAATTGACTCAACAGAGCCGGTCGTTCTGTTAGAGTTGATGCGCTATCGCGGATTCACTTTGTGCGGCGATTTAGAAGAATTACGGGACCGGTATTTTCGATTTATGTTGATGAAAGAACGACCAGATTTACGGCCGCCGTTGCATTCTAATGATTTCGCGTCGGGCCAAATCCCGGACTTGCTATGCGACGAGCAGTAAGAAGCAGCGGCAGACAGGGCGCAGAGCGCAGATCTTGGCGATGAGCTCGCGACGGCTGTGACGCCCTTGGCGACTGAATTAACGTGCGCGAGAAAGCAGGCGACGCAGGTAACTGCTTGTGTTGCCGCTTCTCGCGAGCGGGTTCGGTCGCCGGGCGAGAGCGCAGCCGCGCCGGTTAACGAAAACGCGTTGCCACCGGCGACATGCCTGCCGTCGGTTAGCGCGACCGGACGCGCTCGCGAGCAAGAAGTCAGAGATCGGGGCGAATGTAGCACTGGGGCGCTAAGCCAAATCTGGGGAGCTTTAACTGCTGTTCCGCGTTGGATTTTTAGGCGCGAGGTTAGACAGGGCATCACGGATGGTGCGAATGCAGTTTTTAGGGTCGAAAGAGAAGCGATGCACAGTAGGTCGGTCCAGGCCGAGCAGCAGGCTTCAATGCCGTCTCAGGCCAGGCCGTCCGGCAACCGTGCGGCGCTAAACGTGCCCGCGGCTGGAACTGAGCAATCGGCACATGCGAGCGCATCGTTTAATAGAGCAGGTAGTACGCTTATGAGCACTGATTTAAGCAAATCAGTGAGCACAAGGTACCAAGCGCCAAGGATAAATTCGTGGGTGGAAAATTGAGAAGGCGAAGTTGCCGCGGCCGCGGCCGATGGGCAGCAGCCGCCGGCGGCAAGCCAACCTGCAAGAGAAGCCGCGCCGGCTCAATTGAGCGCGCAGGCTTCGTTAGCCTCGACTGCAAATGCAGCTCCTAGCTTGATTCCACAACAACGCGATCGGAATAGTGGCGCGTTTAGGAATATTTCTGATAGACCATTCACAGGGGCATATTTTAATTGCAACGCGATAGGACACAGAAGGGCGCAATGCCCGGTGGCTCGAGTCAATCCACTGGTTGTCTGTTATAAATGTCGGCAACAGGGACATTATGCCAATAGTTGCCCGACTCGATCTACTGAGCGCGCGCCCGCGTGTTAGGTCTGTGGTCCGGTTGGTTTCGTTTTTAGAGATTGCCCTTCAGGTAGAGAGAGTGCTTTACGCAAGAGGCAAGGGTACCGTGGTTGAGGCGACAAAGGAAGGCGAGAACAAGGCAAAAATTGCCAGTTCTTCGCATCTTTTCTCGGATAGCATTTTCGATAAGCGTGAAAATGAGGATGTGAAAGTCAAGTGTGTATCTAGAGTAGAAGGTAAGAGTTTAGCAGAGGATAGAAATGAGATTGTAGATTCGAGAGGTTTGTGAAATAGAGTAAGGAAAGTTGCGTTTGAGAGTGAGCTGCCGAGTTTGACTTTAGACAGGAACCGGGCGCAGAGTAGCGTAGCCGTGGATTTCCCCAGTAAGACCAGCAATGGTCCCGAACAGGTAAATTCTCGCGACTCGGTACAGGAAGGCGCAGAAGGTTTCTGCAATAGTCAAAATGCTAAAATACAGAAAGTTTTACCAGACACAAATGCGCGAGATGCGATCGATCATGGTAGAAATTCTTTGGCGGGTAGTTCGCTCGAGAAGTGCCTAGCGAGGCAAAGTAAGTTGCCGTCGCTGCGCATGAACGCGAGAGAGACAGGTTCAAGTATTTCGCCCACGGTTGGGCAGGCTTCGGAAAAGGCCGTTGCTTTAGGAAATCAGAGTGAACCTGTAAAAGAATCTGTTGGTAAGGAAGCGAGCTCAGGCGCTGCGCTCCCGTCGGAGCGGGCTACAACAAAGGTCATGGTCACGCGCGATAGAAGTGAGCTTGTTGATAGTAGGGTTTTGTTGTTTGGACGTTCGGTCGTCGGTGCCGACGTACCTTCCGTTTTAGTGAGGGGAGGGTCTGAGTGGAACTCAGAAATCCCGAAGAAAAACGGCAGAGGAATCAGATGCAGCGTTAGTCGCAGTAGTAGAGAATATGTTCTTTATTAAGGTCGACATAGGCGGGCAAGTCTATACAGCGCTGCTAGATTCAGGTGCACAGGTATCAGTGGTAGGGCCGAATCTTGGCTTACGGTTTAAGGACCGGTTAAGGCCACCTACGATATTCGTACAGGGTATCTCAGGTGAGAAACCGCGAACGTGGGGGACTTAAAGCTAAGTATGGAAATTGGTGGCAGGACTGATTGGTTGATTGCGACGGTAGTATCTACACTTAGGCACGACTTGATTTTAGGTGCAGATTTTTTTTTTTTTTTTTGAATAAATGGGATATTAATATCAACTACGGTAATCGCGCTTGGCAGGCAGGTGACCAAGGCGATTGGTTTTAGTTAGCAGAGTAGGATAGTAGAGAAGTAGATGTTTACGCCGAATGCGCGGGTTTGGGTAAATACGAGAAGGCTCAGAAAGAGACAATCATGGCGCTCGTTCGCCGGATTGTCCCGGAACCTGGCGAATCACCAGCGGTCACCAGGGTTATCGAGCACATTATCGACGTAGGCGATGCGCGCCCGATAAAGACGCCGATGCGCCGAATGTCGCCTCCAATCATAGCATTTACGCTGAAAGAAACCATGCGGCTATGGAAAGCGAAAATAATTAGGCCATCGAATAGTCAATGGTGTAACGCGCCGGTGATCGTGCGTAAACAAGACGGTGATTATAGGTTTTGCCTCGATTTTAATCCTGTAAATAAGGTGACGAAAATAGACGGGTATCCGATGCCTAGCATTGACGCTATTTTAGATAGGTTGCGCAGAACAGTCTACCTGTCGAAAATAGATCTGCGAGCGGCGTTTTGGCAAATTCCGCTTTCAGAGAATACCAAACAATATACGGCGCTCGCGGTCCCAGGTCTTGGTTTATGGGAGTTTGAGCGAATGCCGTTTGGTTTGGTAAATGCGCCGGCTGCTTTCACGCGCCTTATGGATGCACTTTTCGGTCCAGAGTATGAGCCGCATGTTTTCTGGTATCTTGATGATTTGTTGGTGGTTAATGTAGATTTTGAGAGCCATATGTTATAGTTAGAAAAGGTTTTGAAGCGATTGGGTACAGGTTAGACTGTGAGGGCTTGCGTCCGGAGGGTGATAAGGTAAAGCCGATAGTTAAGTTGGATACAAAAGCATGGAAGATAGGCTATTACGTTTGAATGCGTTGCGCGACTTAGTAGCCAAGCATATTGACGAAGCACAGGAAAAGCAAAAGAAGTACTACGATAAAGGTAGGCGACGAGCTCTTTTCCAAGTGGGTGATTTGGTTTGGCGCGAAGTGCATATGCTTTCGAATGCAGCGGCGGGCAAGAACGCGAAACTTGATCCGAAATATGACGATCCGTTTAAAATCGTTCTGGTAATCTCGCCGGAGATTTATGAATTGGCCACGAATAGCAAAAACATCGCACCACTAGAGTACATGTTTCGGAGATTCGCCACGGAAAGTAAACGCGTAATTTTTTTTACGAATATTTATTATTTTAGAGTTGGATAGCTATGAAGTTTGTTCACTTTGTTGTAAGGGTTTAAGTTTAGATTTTGGAGATGAAGAGTTTGCCCTTGGTTCTATCTGGGTGTTATCAGAATAAATTTAAGTTATAGAATAAGTTATGATTAAGAAATTAATTAAGGTTATTATTTTGTTTAGCGTTTAGCGCTGGCTGCAAGTTGCCGGTCGAGAGAGGAGAAGGGGGAAGAGAGTCAGGCCGCAGTGAGCTTTGGCCTTGGGAGGGGGTGTGACGAGAGCAAGCAGTACGCTTGCTCCTCGTCTGCCCTCCTTCTCTCTCTCCCTCTTATCGCTCGGCATGGCGACGTGGTCAGCGTTCGGCGCATATATTTATTGCGCCTAACCACTGGCCTTTATGTTTTTCCAGCCGCCGAAGATTGCCGAGCAAGATTGAGAGCGCCCGAAGAAGCAAGAGCGCAGCGACTATGAGGTAGAGAGAGAGAGAGAGATAGATAGATAAGAATTTATTTACCGTGATGGCAAAACATAGAATACAATAATATATAAATATATACAGTAATTGTCACAGCTTTAGTTTACATTATGCCGTACCGGCATCACATTTCATCACAGTTCGATTACAATTTTAGTTCCTCAGTCAATAAATAAAATTATGCTTGTAGTTATTACATTAAAATAAATAGACTAGGATTTGACTAGTTCACAGTTCGATATTCCAGAGAAAACAATAATTCTTATCACTACAGTCTAGCTTGCTTATAACTAGTAATGCAGTCAAAAGTTTAGGCTAGTTTTCGTCATACAGACACAAAACAGCACAAAAAATAAATAAATAAATATAATTCACTACAACACGAAAATAAATAACTGTACAAACATTTATACAGTAATCTAATACAAATAAAAATACTCCAGAGGTACCACCCTACGCCCTCAATGACGCAAAGTATTCGCGCGCCCCCCTCTTAAAGCTGCTAAGCGACGGCGCGTGCCGCAGGTCAGATGGAAGAGTGTTCCAGAGATGGGCACCCATCACCTGGAAAGACCTGCGAGCCGTCTCCGTTCTAACCTTAGCAACTCTAAGCTCAGCCTGCCCCGCCCTACCCGGATACCTTGACTTGTGCCCTATGAAGAGCTCAGCCAGGTAGCCAGGCTCGCGCATGGTCAAGCACCTGTACATTAGCAGGGACATGAAATATTCCCTGCGTACGTCCACGCGAAGCCAACCTAACCGCGACCTATATGGAGAGACCGAGACATCACGCGGGATACCATAAATGTATCTTACGCACGCGTTGCTCAGTCTCTGCAGCCGCTCCCTCTGCTCCGCTGAGGCCCCCAGACACACCACGGTGCAGTAGTCCAGGTGAGGCTGGACCATCGACTCCACCAGTCTGCGCCGGAGCAGCTCCGTAGTACACGGCCTAACAAAACGCAGGCCGTACAGAGCTCTCCAAACCTTCGCCGCGACCCGGTCAATGTGCGATCTCCACGACAGCTTGCTATCGAGAACGACCCCGAGACTGATCACTTCATTACTAAAGGGAACAAATACTCCCTCTTGCACCTCAACACCAGGCAAGACCTCAGCGCAAATGTCATTGACATGTTTGTTAGTTCCAAACATGATAGCTTTGGTCTTGCCCGCGTTCAGGCGCAGATCCGAATCCCGGGCCCAGTTCGCCACCAATCTCGCAGCCTCCGTCAGCATTCGGATGCCCTTTGTCAATTCATTTTTATGTATATGCAGATAAATCTGCAAGTCATCCGCATAGAAGAGGTATGAAACCTCATGTCCACGGAGCACATCTTTCAGATCGCCGACATACAGGCAAAACAAGAGCGGTCCCAGCACCGAGCCCTGTGGAACCCCCAGATTCGTCTCCCGCCACTCCGAGCCCCTATCCCCAGAAGTAACCCTTTGCGAGCGACCACCGAGGTAGGACCTCAGCCATTGGAGAGCAGAACCAGAAAAACCAAGAGCACGGAGCTTGCGCAAAAGTCTCGAGGGTGATATGGTGTCGAACGCCTTGCTGAAATCGAATAACAGCAAGAGCATCATCATCCTTTTGTCAACGCCCATTCGGATGTCATCCGTCAACTTTAATAACGCTGTCTGAGTACTGTGGCCCCGCCTAAAGCCGGCCTGGAGGGGATCAAAAAGATTTTCTCTATTCAGATACTCCGTGATCTGGTCATGGGCAAGCTTCTCGAGAACCTTTGAAAGAAAGCAAAGCAAAGCTATCGGACGAAAGTCCGAGGCCGAGGAAGGGGTGTTGTTCTTCCTCAAGGCAATCAGCTGTGCCCGCTTCCAGGCTCTCGGGAACTCCCCCTTAGCAAATGAGGAATTAAATATTAACCCCAGGTGCTCACCTATGACTGGAAGAGCCTTCACCACCACCCCATGGGGAATCCCGTCCACGCCGCTCGCTTGCGATGTAAAATGGGAGACAGCTAGGATGACGTCATCGATGCCAACAGGTTTGAAGGTAAAACCTCGCTTATCCGCGACATCAACTCCATTCATCCCACTATCTATATCCTCAAGCGGCGAGGCCGAAACCCCAGCGAAGTGGTCATTCAGCTCGTCCAAGGTAAACCCATGAAGGCCATCCCCACCCGCCCCTGGCAGGAGGCCGAGGTTCCGCATTTCCTTCCAAATATTTTTACCTTCATCAAGAGCGCTAGACAGATGATTTTGAAGGAAATTAACGCAGAGAGAGAGAGAGAGAGAGAGAGAGAAAGAGAAAGAGAGAGAGAAAGTTAGCGAGCATGCTAGAGTGCGCGTCTATGCACGCACTATGCAGGTTTAGGCCGGCGTGTGACGCGCGACCAATTAGCGCTTTTGTCGCACGCCGCCTAATGAGTGAGCTTGGTAGGAGAGCCCGGCGAGAGCGCGAATGCTGACCATGCGTCAAGTCGCGTGAGGCAGTTCCCGGAAGAAAGTTAAGGAGAGAAGTTGGAAGTAGCAGCGCGATGAGAGAAGAAGAAACACACGTGCAGCAGTGACCAGACCAGGGCGAGCCGAGGCAACGTGTGGCGGCAACACCCGCAGCAGGGCATTCAGTGTCGCCCTCGCCGCCATGCACGGCATGACTTCCAGTGGGTTCACCACGGGCTACGCCGAGGAAGACGTCCAGCCAGCGGCCAGGTCAACTCCCCGTTGCCGGCTCATCGCCAAGGACAAAGGTCAGGTTATCTCTCTCTCCCGGTATTTCTCTCTCTCATGGTGATGCGCGGCCGCGTAGGAACGATAGGTAGCCAGGCGATCACTTGCCGGCTACGCTCATCGTAATGCGGTAGAGAGGTTTCAACGTATTCTTTCCTTTGTAAGGAGGTAAATGGCCAAGGCGATTTACCTCCTTACAAAGGTTCACGAAAGTTAATGATAAGCAATTTCTGAAAAGCATGTAGATCGAGTTCGAAATTCGATTGGATATATCAACTTTATTTAAAATTTAATTAAAATTTTAATTCAGTTGAAGTTTACAAATCAGGAAAATCATGAAATGCAATAATAGAATCGCGTTAAAAAGAGCAAAGATTATGATTATTTATGATCGTAAATTCGACCGGGTAAACTCCATGTGGTACGCTTCGGGTAATGCTGATGTTGGCGGTAGCTTTTGTTCAAAATTTTTTGGAGTCATTAAAAAAAATGTTTCAAAATTAAAAAAAATATTTTGTTTGCCTTTTTTTCAAGATTATAATAATTTAAAGTCAAAATTGTGATCCTTTCATTTTTTTTTTAAATTCAATTGAATAAAACAAAAAAACGGCTTGATCGATTGAATTCAAACTTTGTGGGGTTTTTCTGGGCATATTGAACGGTAAAAGACACGCTTAACATTTCTGGTTTTCTCGATAGTTTCAACTTAGCGCTTGATTATCCCTATACTCTTTTTTTTTATTTTTCATATTAATGTAAAGAATAAAAAGAAAATTTTCTTTTTCACAAACAGTAGTTCAGTTTTTTGAGAAATTTATTAAAGATTTCAAAACCTACCTTTATTTTTTTGTGCAATCAGCGGTTGCTGAGATATTGATGGTTAAAGACAAAAAGATCCTTTTCCATTCAAAGTTCGATATCTCAGCAAGAGATGGTGGTATTGAACTTTTCAAAAATGCAAATTAAAGCTGAATAAACAAGTTATCCAATCCATATAGTGGCTGAGTTAGAAAAATTTTTTCCAAGTTCGTAGACTAAAAAAAATACTGAAAAAATTTAATAAAAAAATTTTTTTTGGTATTCATGAGGATTGAGCAGAACATGTTGCTTGAAAAATTTTTTGATTATAAGATCTCAAAACTAGAAACTTCAAACTTGAAAACACTTTTTTCTAAATTCCAGTATGACCATTTTCAAGGGAAATACAGCCAGTTAAAAAGCGTCAAAAAATTTGGAATTTTTTTTGGATCCTTTAATTTTTTCCACTAGTGTATGTTATTAAATAAAAATTGTATATCTCTCCGAATCTTTTCTATCGGAATCTCACAATTTTTAATTTGTTCATAATTATTGTTAATAATTTGTTATTTTTCTGTTAATAAAGTCTGAAGAGGTCAGCAAAGGTGCTGATGAAACGTTGCTGAATATAATTAAAATTAAGTGAATTTCCATCTCTCACTATTTTCCTTCTTTCCATTGTTATGAAAATTTATCATTTAAGAAAATTATAAAGGAATCAAAACAGTATGTTACGTGAATAAGGTTAGTCTAATATTGAAACTTGCGTTTGTTTCTGACTTGACTGATCACGGAATAGATAGAATGAAGTAAAATTGAGAAAAATAAAAACTTCAAAATATTATATCTCAACGAAGAAAAAAGATATTTGATCAAACTCAACTCCATTTGAAATTTCAAGACTTATTTTAAGCTGCTCTGTATAGATTTTTAGGTTGACTAAAACCTAAAGCGTTAGATAACCTTAAAAATAGGCAAAAACATCGTTATTTTCACTTTTAAGTTAGAATATCTCAAAAACCTGACGCGATAGAGTAATTGTATGGCTGGATTTAGATTCAGCATACCAAAATCTGGGAAAGTATACACGAATTTCTCGGAAAATGTTTTGTTGCACTGTGAATTGGTTTTTCTTTACCTTCTCATATCGTTTAGAGGCTGTGGCTTGAGAGCGTGCTATAGATGCTGTGTTAGTCTCATCATAACGTACATATTATGAGATATTCTTAAGTGAAAGACACCGTATACAGAGAATCTTTACGCAAGTGAACATGTGAGTTGGGAACCATGTTACTGCAAGATTGACGCACGAATTTAGATTTTTTGTGAAATAATTCTATATATTGAATTATTATAATTAAGATAAAGAGATATAAGTTTATATTAATAGAACTATACGTTTATGTGAATTTATTTGCCCGTGTTCTTGCATGCGTTTCCTCCAACTCATTTTCACATTCGTTGCGATTGTCACCTACAATTTCGTCAGTCCTCATAATAATTTTACCTCCTGAATTCTTCTTCATAAATAATTTGTACCTACAATGACGAGCACATCGATACAAGTCGATTTTATATTACAGATTTTTTATTTAAATATCAGGAATTTCTAGTTTGACTGATTACTAAAATTACAATGATACGATTGCTTTTAATTAATTAGTTTTTTAATTAATCAGTAGTCTCGTCTTTTAGCTATATACATATTGTTATGAATTTAATTATAAATTAGTTGTTTTACACTTACCCAGCCAACTCAGATGCTCGATACTCTCAAGCTTTTCCTTAAAAGAATCGACCTGTTTTTTAACCTCTCGTACTGATAGACAAGAAACTTTTGCTGAAGTTTCACAGTATTCATTTAATTCACGTTCTAAAGCAGCAATTCGTTTATCTAGGGTGCATAACCAATTGACTTCAATTATCCCTGATGTATCGGGATGGACACCAACTACCTGTCGACGATAATCATTTTTAGAGAAAAGGTCGTCTTTTCACACTTTGATATAGAAAGATTAAATTAGACGGAGTATTGTCGCCTCTATTCCATGCATATTTTCGTAAATATAGGATGTCTAACATTTTTAACAGAGAGGGAAATTACACATATATACATACACGCATATATAGCTAGGTTAGTGGAGGTATAAAATAAAAATATAATGAAAATAACCGATAGAACAACAATGATAACAATAATAAAAGATGGAAAATATAAAAATAATAAAAACAATTATAAGATAATAAAAATAATAATAAATAATAAAAACACGATGGCACCTATTTTACAAGACGGACTGGAAGGAGGAGATGTAAAAGGGTAAAGACGTACATTTGGCTAAAAACAGCTAAGTTTGATTAGCTATTTAATGAACCAAAAGTTGATAGAGAGGTGTTTCTGGTAGGTTGGATAATTATGGGAGAACGCGATTTGATTGACATTGTTTGATATGCGAGTGTAATCGAACAGTGCCGGCATTGGCATTAGGTTTTCGCGAGTCGCCCTTTCAATCCATGCTCTAGCCTCGTAATTTAAAAACAGATCACGTGTCCAATCCTTGAAGTCAGAGATCCGATCAATGGAGAACGGGGTCACGGTCAATGAATTGAGTATCCTCTGTGCAAGGATTGCAAAAGAATGGTTCCGGGCCTCAGTTCGAGGAGCTTTGTATTCAAATGCCAACGGTGGATCGCGACTCGAGCGCTGGATAATGACACTATCAAGCAGGACAAACAGGTTTTTAGCTAGGTAATGAGTCGATTTCCTAGACACTACAGAGTAGGGCAGAACGGCAAGGGCTCTATACCTATTTGGTGTAAGTGATAGCCAGCCTCGGGCTAATCTATGGTGGGTGATGTGGCTGTTTAAGGATAGTGAAGGTATATGTGGGATTCATCCTACTACGAAGCGTACACAGGCGCACAGTGGGGACTGAGACCATTTTAGCTCTACTTATCAGCCTGCTCTTCAATTTTTCATCGATCATGATCATTTTTATTTTAAAATCTTCATTTTGTATTATATTTTAACGGATCACTGCCTGTTTTTTGATATTTGCAAAGTAATCCTTTAAAATTAACCTCGAATACTGAATTTTATCGAATGGCGTATGTTACAGTACATGATGAGACTGATTTTTAACTTTTTACTTGAAATTTTGCAAAAGTTAAAATTAAAATATTAAGAAAAGTTCATAAATAAATCATAAAACAAATTCTACTCTCATGATGCCCCTCTACCCTCCTCTATCCCAAAAAAAATGCCCTAATACACGTTTATCTATCGGAATAATTTTCTTTCCTCATTTTTATTGCATAACTTATCTTTGACTATAATTCTATTCAAGTAAGGCATACGTTGCATAAATTTGCAACTACTTAGCCCTTCTCCCCTCTTTTTCAGGGTTTTTAGGGATTAATGCCACCCCTACCAACTCCTAAGTAGGCTAACTCATCTGATCCTGGGTAGATTAAATAATTAAAATTGCGTTGCTAGATAGATTTGACTGTATGTACCTATAAAATTAAATTGACTGTTACACGTTTATCAGTATCAAGATACTCTCAAGTTTCTTGAAGGTATTAGTCAATAGTAGTTATAGCACTGGTAATTCTGAGCCATTCACTTGAAAAATGGTATGGTGCAAATTACCATCAGGAATAGACCAGCATACAAGGGTCGCTCAATAAGTCTGTGACTTATCAGAAGATGATGGTGTTATCATAACGTATTTTATACTGTAAGAGAATCCTATCTAGTATAAGTGCGTATAGAAAAAATTTTAATTGAATACGTTGTTTTGGAAATTTTTTACAGTCATTTGAAATTAGCTTTTTATTGTATAAACAAAATCATGGAAAAATGAGTTTCATTTGCTTATTCAACATTATTTCCTATAGGAAAATTCAATCAAAAAACTGAAGACAAGCTCAGGAAATATTATGGAGACTCTGCTCCATCGCGTGGCATGGTTCAAAAGTGGTTTACTGATTGTGAGTATCGTTGTGGCCGCAAAAGCACAAATGATGCTGAGCATTCTGACCGCCCAAAAGAGGTGACTACTCAAGACATGATCGATAAAGTTCATGATATTATACTCCCCGATCGTCGATCGAAAGTCCGCGAGATAAGTGAGTCTCTTAACATTTCAGCGCGATGTACATGAAACAATTTACATGAATGTTTGGGCTATAACAAGTAAGCAGTCTCTCCTCGTTACATCTCTGTTTCCCTTAAAATATTAATATGATAACTATGTCTATGAATTTCAGCAGCCAGGTAAGTCCAAATAGGAGAGAGAGAGCAAGCAATGTGACGCGTAGTTAGCCAAAGTTTTTCTGAGCAACAGCGACGGACGTATGCAAAGAGAGGGAAGAGAATTCTTTCGCACGACTCAGAGAATTGACCTAGGCGCGACCTCAGGAAATTCACCTAAATATCTTTTTTACTCTCGCGACACATTGTGTTTTTTGCTATCATGTCCTCCTTCTTTCGCGAATTCGTACGATAGGAAAGTTTCGGCCAAGTCAGTGCGTCACTCGCGACGGCCCGGATTGTGCGGTGCTGCACGTTGAATTTTTTGAGTTCCCGAGTAGTGCGTGTACGCGTGTTGGCTTTCCTGGCGTACGTCTTGACTCGCCGGATTTCGTACGTGCAGCCGAGGCGGATCAATCCGGTTATTCTATAGGACCTGTGTGAAGTCGCCAACCTGTAAGTATCAACTCGATCTTCTAGTATATTACTGCTTATTTTCACGCTCTCTCTCTCTCTCTCTCTCTCTTTTTCCACTGCCGTCATCCCAAAAAACTCTGCTCCGTAAGTTAACACTACCAACGGTTGTTTTAGCCCGATAGTGTCTAATTTTCCAGCTCAGCTATCTGAAGCGGTCTCATCCATTTCCATTTCCTCCAGTTTCTGGTCCATAATGCCAGCTAATCCAGGACCGTACCCCGCCCTCTGCTTTCTTCGTTGTCGGCCACATTAATATTAATAGACTAAATTTCCCCTGTCACTTTACTCTTCTCGAAGTACAAGCACATTCTACTTATTTTGACGTCATAGCCATTATTGAAACTTTCCTCTCACTTGACATCTCTGACTTACACCTCTCTCTCCCAGATTAAAATTTTTTCAGGTTTGACCGAATTAGGAAGCGGGGAGGCGGGAGAGTCTGAACGTCAGATCTCACCGTAAATTTAGTTTTCTAGCTACTCCAAATCCAGTTTTTAATAACACACCTCAATTCATCCTTGGCGAAATAAAGTCCGACAAGACCAAGCTTTTGATGGCGGTGGTATACAGACATACTTCTGCATGCTCTCCTACACATTTCTTCAACTGCCTGGCCACTTACCTCCCCCTGTACTACCTCTCAGTGGTCTGTATTGAGCTCGATGGAGATCGCTCGTCTAAGCTTCAAGTTGCCCAAACGGCCTGGGTGTGCTTTGTTATAGGATAGATCCAATATATACTTACTCTATCCCTAAACAGCCATATCACCTACTATAGATTAGCCCTAAGCTGGCTATCACTTACCTCGAATAGGTATAGAAAATCGCCACACTATCTAGCTAAAAACCTATCTGTTCTATTTGATAGTGTCATTATCCGGCGGTCGGGTCGCCATCCACCGTCGGAATTTAAATACAAAGCTCCTCGAACTGAGGCCTGGAACCATTCTTTTGCAATCCTTGCACAGATTATACTCAATTCATTAACCGTGACCCTGTTCTCCACTGATCGGATCTCTGACTTCAAGGATTGGATACGTAACCTGTTTTTAAATTACGAGGCTAGAGCATGGATTGAAAGGGCGACTCGCGAAAACCTAATGCCAATGCCGGCACTGTTCGATTACACTCGCATATCAAACAATGTCAATCAAATCGCGTTCTCCCATAATTATCCAACCTACCAGAAACACCTCTCTATCAACTTTTGGTTCATTAAATAGCTAATCAAACTTAGCTGTTTTTAGCCAAATGTACGTCTTTACCCTTTTACATCTCCTCCTTCCAGTCCGTCTTGTAAAATAGGTGCCATCGTGTTTTTATTATTTATTATTATTTTTTATAATAATAAATTCTTAATACATGATTCTTGTATGATACAATCAGATCACGGTCCGGTCATGACATTACCGGAGGCTTTCCCTTTCTTCCTTTTCTTTTTGCCTTAGACTTTTCTGCCATGGGCGCCTCTATCTGGGCGGCCACAGTAGCCCCGTGTAGCCCTTTTTATCCTTCTCTCAGTAGGCAGCGTCCTCGACCGGCAGGTTTTCCTTAGAAAAAGGAGGGTGCCACCTTCACTCGTATTCACGGTACTTTTCCAGCTCCTCCCTCGTCAGATCCCGACAATAATGACAGTGGAAACTGTCCGTAAAGTACCGAAACTTACACCACGCCCTGAACTTATTAGCCAACCGCACCTCTGCGTAATCCAGAAAGATCCAAAGCTGTACATCTGGACGGAACGCTCAAGCTTCTCCAGAAAGCGTTCGGCTAATAAACCGAAAGCCCCATTGAACTTTAAATTCCACGTGCGGAACGCCATCGCAGCATCCGTTCTTCTACCGTTCAGGCGTCCCCGAAGACCATCCCGAGGAGAGCCAGTGGAGCCCGATCGTGCTCGGCCGCCGCAGTGGGGCTGGCATTGGCGGCGATAACGTGGCCTCTCGTTCTCGCTTGCGGAGCTCCACTCACTCACACTACTCGAGTCTAAGAAGCTCACACATCTCTGTCACCGCCTCTTGCCTAGCCTCCTCTCGCGGCGTGGTCGCGCCTGGTCCGTCTCGGTGGATGATTTCGGCGACGACGCCAGCAAGCCACACATTGTTGTCGGTCTGACTTGACTCGAAAATAATCTACGATATGATTTTTAAAAAGTTATTGAAAGTGGTATTTCGTAGCTCACAAAAATATTTATGACAGAGTATGATAGCGTCTATAATAGAAAATTTCTTATTGACAAGGGATAGCTGACCTGCGAAAAAAACGGTTCCTGACTGTAAAATATAAAAGCTGATATTCTATCATTTATTTCCACGAGAAAAATTAATTTTAATCATTTTTATTGATTTTAGACCATTGTGCAACGCCAGCGTGCTGATAACAGATAATCTGACTCCTCGTAGATTGCCAGGATATGTTAAATATGTTGTCTTGTAAGCGTAGACTTACTACTAATGTAAATTCATAGAATTGAATAATTTTGAAGAAATCAAAAAATTAATAAAAACAAGTCATATTAATAAAGAAGATAAAGATAGGATTTTAGAGGTATGCTTGTAATATAGAGGCTTTTTCGAAGTTATAACAAGAAAATTTACAGCATTTGAAATTAATATTTGATATTCCTGAAAATATAATTTGAAAATACAATTAAACTAATGTAAATTTTTAAGAAAAAAAGTTTTATTTTTGAGTCATGTAATTATATTTGAAGGGATGAAGTCCGATTAGGATAAAAGCGATAATAAAATATTTAATATCGCGTACACAGGTAGAAGTAAAATAATTTTCAAGAATTACGGATAAATAATTATAGATAATTTATCAAACATTATGCAAAGATAGCCAAATCGTTTACAAAAGCATTAAAAGAAGGCGAAAACTAAATTGCCATGATATTGGATAGAGTGAATTATTAAATAAATTTAAAAAATTAATTACTAATATTCGAACTTTTTCTTGAACACCTATTTAGAATCAATTATATTCGGTTTTATTTCATCTGTGGATTTTCTTGGCTTTAAATAATCTTTCAAACACAGTTCTTCATCATCGCATCTAACTCATTTTCGATGGCCTTTTCCCACTCGTCTCTCTCCTCAGTTGCCGTTGCTTCTCTAAATGTTGCAGGGTCTTCGTTAATTTTTGCTAAAAGCACGGAGAACGGAAAGTATATCATTTTATCTACAAGAGTCTCATCTTTATCAAATTCATTACAAAATAATTTTATCTCCACATCTTTTCGTATGTCTGAGCACTTGGCAAAACTCACATCATTTATTGGCTCGTCAGAAACATCTTGAGGCATTACTGCTTTAATTTTCCTAGGTCTCTACCCCTTTTCCTTTTTACTTCTCTCTTCGTTTCTATTATTATCCTTAATATCTAATAATATCACACCCATCGTATCAGCATGGATAATTTCTAATAGTTGGATTGCTCTTTGTTTCGTCGTTTTAAATGACAATTTATTTATTTTGGCTATCATATAAATTTCACAATCATGAATTTTCTCATCAAATACTACACTTTTTAATTTCTTGATATGTAAAAATTGTTTTTGAATTGCCTTAATGTACTACAACGATACTTGACCTAATCTTACATGCCATAGCATGGCCTTGTCAATTACTCTGATATTAGAATAATTGTCCATATTGAGGTACTTTTTAACCTCAACTAAATCCTCACCAGTTTCATCGTTGCCATTTTCAACTTTCTTGTTTCAGATGGTTGTTTCGAACCTTGAGCAATTTGCTCTGCTTTTGTCCTTATCTTTATTTAACTCTTTTACATTATCGAATAAATTTGCATTCTTGTCATTTGTTTCCTCCTAATTTAAATTTTTAACTCGTCTTGATTATTTATTTGTAACACTTCTACTTAAATATGGAGGAACTTCCCCGGTTGACAAGTAAACAACAATTTATTTGCATTCTAAAAGATTATTCTGACTGTTGCATAACTCATCTCTATGTGTCACAAACTTAATTATTCAATAGCGTTTTCCATAGATTACGGAAATAAATTTTCTATTCGAAATGGGGTCGTAAATATCAATTACTTCATTATCCAAATATACGATAAGTCCTTGATCAGCGAATCAGCGAAGGGAGAGTAGGTTCTTTGTTAATGACTCAACATAAATAACATTAGCTAGTTTTATTACCTGACCTTTACTGTCTATTAATTCTACCTGACATACTACCTCCGTTCTCAATTCGCTTCTTTATTCTTATTCGCAAATCTTATTATATTTTTTTGATTTTCATCAAGTGTATTAAATATTAATTTGAAGTTAGCAAGGTGCTCTGATACACCAGAATTAATAATAAACTTGGCTAGATTTTGTGATTCTAAATTATTTATGGCGACAGAGGTCACGCAATCTGCTGAAAAGCATTAACCTCAATTTCCTTTATTTGACTTGAAATTGTTGTGCTCGTCTCTTCCTCATCCTCTCCTTCCTCTATTGTCACTCTTATTGTTATTTCCGCCTCGACCTTTGTTTTGATCGGATTTCTTTGAATTTCTTGTAGTTTTCAACGTAATAGTCATTATGGTCGATCTTTCTTTTGTAACCTCTGCTATTCCCGTCACCTCTGCCTCTATTACTATTATATGAAATTCCATACCTCTATTCTTGTCCAATTCGTTGTTTGCTGTTGCTCCTTGTCTGGTTCTCTCGTCCCTCATTATTTGGGCAGTTGTATGACTTGTGCTTATTAATAAATTTACCACAATTGTAGCACTTCTTTTAGGGATTGGGTCTTTGGAATGAGGGGTGATCTTTGTCCGGATAGTCACCACTCGTGAGACTAAAGTTGTCATACATATAGCTTCCTGTCGAGCTTGACCCCTGCTGCCAAGGCCCCTCTCTCTGCTTCAGTCTTCATAATGTAGGATTTTAACTAATCAAATGTCATATTCTTATCAGTAACGTTTATTCATAAAGTCAGCCGTTCTGATTTCAGGCAAACCTGACACAATTACATTATAAAAGGCCTCTCTTTTCCCATCTATACTCAGCTTTAAGACTTCAGGAATATTGCTATATTCTTAACTATATATTCAAATCGTTCACAGAATCCGGATGCTGAGTCTTTTAAGGAATCATATTTTATATTGTACAACTTACGTTTTACGGTAACAGAGGTTGTGTTTGATTCACATCGTTTAAGTTCTTTAATTTTCTTTAACGCATCTCCAGGATCTTTTAAGTCGACTAACTTATCTGATAGCTTTGGTCCAGTTGATTTATTGTAATATCACGCACATTATATTTATCTTTATTTCTCGTTCCTTTATCATTATTATGGTTAGACACAGCATCTTCATCTATGTATAATAAATCTCTGGACCGAAGCTTCGATATAAGATAGTCATTGAAATGTTCAAGTTTCATTTTATTAGTTAATTTATAATCGCGTCTTGTGCTATTTTCTTTTGAAACATGAACTTTGATCAAGCTTTAAATCAGTGTTTTTTTCGTTTAATTTACTCACGGCTAATTGTATTAACTCTTCTCTAATTGCTCTGGCTATATCTAATTTTTTTCTTGAGCTACTCACTACATCTTTGAACGTTAAATCTATATCGTCCCTATTCTCATCTATGTACTCATCTTCATTATTGTACAAGTCATCATTTACCTGAGCTTTTAGAACTTCAATTTCTTTCTTGTAACGGCCCGACCTTCTGTTGAACTTCCTCAACTTCTTTCTGATCTCATTGGTTTTAATCGTCACAAGATCTCTCAACTTACTAAACTCCCTTACCTACCGTACCAGTTGGCATTTCTGCTATACTGAATGCATGAGTTTGTGAGTGAGGATAATTTTTTTCTGCTCAGGGATCACAACTTTCGGCACAGCATCCAGTCTTTTCTCGTTCAGCTTGATCTCTTTGAGTACTTTTCTCATCTCCTCGTCGAGCTTCTCAAAATCTAGAGGTGTTTGTTCAATTTTCATTAGTTTTAGTAATTTTAGTTTTTTATAACATTTTTTATTGGAAATTATTTTACGTTTGTTACCCTTGTCAAATTCAGTATTTTTTCACTCTCCTCATCCTCCTCATCATTCTCGTAGCTCATCTTCTCACCCAACTCTTCAGAAACTTTCTTTTAGCGTTATCTGTATTTCTTTTCATAAATTACTCGACCTTCGAGATTTTTCTTTCGCTTTTTTCACCTTCATCGATATATTTTACCAGAACTGACAATTCTCCATCGCTGTAGTTTTCCACATCTAAATAAAGAAATATTAATTACTGTTTAATGACTCTATTATTCTTTTACTTGACATTCCGTACAAGTTTGTCAAATAAAGAAACGAGAAAATATTTAAGGACCGTATTGTAAGTTCAATCAATATTTACTCCTGCTACTGTACCGGAAAAATGGACGACAATTTTGTCTGTACGGTAGCTAGTATGTGTTCCGCGCTGCACGTCTATTTTTAGGAAAACGGAACACTATGCGTTTCATAATTTATTTATTTTTATTTGATTCATACGCATTGCCACATTGAATTATGCTAGCTTTTAACTGTTGTTTAGAATTTCTTACCTTCTTTGAACATCTTCATATTGGATGTAATATAGTACAACGACTTAGCATCTCTTATGATGCGGAGTTGCAAGATGTTTTTCTTGGTCCCTTGTAGGTTAACTTTGCGCTTTTAATGATGGCCAGCAGAGTTTTCTCATCTAAAACGCATCAGCCATGCACGAGCTTTTTCTCTCACTTCTTGGCTTGGTTCGACAATATGACCGCTTTTCTAATTGTTGTTGGGCGCCCACCTGAAACAAAGACCGCCATGCGCATGCGCTCTCCTGTCTCCGCTATGCCGGCGCGTGCTAATCACGTAGTCGCTCTCCCGCATATCCGTGTCTGTACTCGAATCGAAGGCCGGTTTTAGGAAGTTAACCGCACAACTTTGAAATCCTCGCCGCATGCCACCACCGCTCGTATCTTTCCTTTCTCTTTTTGCGATCGATCTATTTAATACCGCCTCTCAACGTTTTCAGTTTTTCACTTTCTTACCTTTCTCTTCCTGTGCACGCTCTCGATGTCTCTCCAAAGACTCTGCCATTTCTGATGTACCGTGTTGCCTCACTCCTTGTCAGAAACTCGTCTCACTCTCCTCTCGCTAACAACACGTGCACTTTTATTTTTGTATAGCACTCACCTAGTCACTGGACTTTTCTCGCCGAAACCTCAACAAAGTTTCACCGTGCGCAGTAAAACCTGCAAGTGCCCATAACCTATTGGTTTTATTGTTTTTGAGGTTTTGGGTTGTGAGGAATGAGCACACACACGATTTGTATAGAACAAGATTTATTATTAGGAAATAAAACACGAGATGGTTAGCTTGGTTGTTCGTACTTGAATGGACGCGGCGCTCAGCATCGCGCTTCGTCTCTCTCGCAACTATCCT